AAATAAGTACATTGCATAAGTATTAACTAAATATTTCGCTGAAGCACCTTAACAGCCTCAAGTCTTTTTTGTTTAATGCGACAAGCTTTGATCATCATCATTTGGCAATTATCTGCCATTCTTATCCTCGCCTCTTCACCTCTCAAGCTGTCAGGTTGGTTGGGGGCAGAAGCACATTTTCAAGTTTCTCCAGAATTATTTGATTGGGTTCAAGCTCATGCTCTGGCTGGGCCACTAAGTCCCTGCCACTGAAAAACAGCCCCACAGCATGAGGCTGCTAGCAGCACACTTTACTATTGGGATGGTACTCTGCAGGTGATGAGCAGTGCCTGGTTTCCTTCAAACATGATGCTTGGAATTGAGGTTCATCAGACCAGAGACTCTTGTTTCTCAGAGTCTGAGAGTCCTTTAGGTGCTTTTTTCAAATTCTAAGTGTGTCTTCACTGAGGAGAAGATTGAGTTTGGCCACTCCGACATAAAGTCCAGATCGGTGGAGTGTTGCAGTGATATTTAGATTTCTCACATCTGCATATATGATCATGGAGCTCAACTAGAGTAATTTTAGTTTGAGTTATTTTAGTACATCGTTAAACGAAGTTAAAATGAGAAATGTTGCCTAGGCAGCTACATTTAAAAATTTATTTTCAGTTCAGTTACCCCCCCCTATTAAGTTATTATATATATAATTTAATATATAACTCTGACTTCTACAGAAACTTTAAAACATGACAAAAAAGTAAAAATACAACCTGATATCAGATTGTAATAAAGAAATGTAATTGCAGCTTTTTATCACACAATTCTGACTTTTTTTCTCAGAACTGAAAGTTTATATCACGAAATAACAATTGTGAGATAAAAAGTTGTTTTTATTTTTTATCCCATGATGGAAACTTCCATAGTTTCCAATATAAGACAATTAGACCAAAAAACAAAAACAAAAACATCAAATTGGCTAATATTGTTACTGTGTATCCTATTTAAAGTGTCCTTTAACAGATGTTTTTTTTTTATCTGTCATTATATTTTAATGGTGATAAATTTATGTGAACTAATTTATTTTCCACTTTTTTGTAAACAGAGATATTTTTTTGTAAATGTTTAATTCACCATCGCCACCCAGTTCCCCAGAATTCAACATTAGCTACTGGAAAAACCCACGCAGTCTGGCCATCATGAGTTTTTTTTCCTGAAGTTTTCGATTGGCTGTGATGCTGTTGTGTTTCAGGCCGGGTCCGAGCGCTCCGCTGCCCTGGGTCAGAGAGTGTGTGCTGCAGCTCGCGCCTCACGGCCAGTGGAGACACAAGATCCTGCTGGGAATCAACATGTACGGACTGGACTTCAGCAGCCACGGCGGAGCGGAGCCACTACTGGGCGCGAGGTACACGCTTCATTCATTAAAACACTCGTTTAGCAAAATTATTGCTGTCAGATGAAATTAACTGTGCTAATTATTTGTTTATTATTTATTTTAAAGTATAAAGCCCCGTTCACACCAAGAACGATAAATTCATAGTTATCGTGCTTGGTGTGAACGGGCCTTTAAAATATGTTTTATATTTTTAGATAAAATCTAAAATATTTTGTAATATAACAATATTTATATAAAATACTTTATTAAAAAAGTTAATTCAATAATAAAAAATGTGATTTTTTACAATGCCAACTTTAGTAAAAGTTTTATTATTAAGCTTGTATATTTAATAACAGTTCAACTAAATCTGATAAATCTAAATTGACCATATAATGTTTTTATATTTACAAAAATTTAACTTAAATACATAGTATATAGATAGTATAGTATGAGTATAGTCTCATTTTGTTATGATATTTACTACATTATGTCCTGCATACTTGTATTCTGACCAGAAAACCTCAAATAAGAGAATTGAACATTCATAATGTAATATAATTTTTAATTTTAATGTAACTCGTTATCTCAAAAGATATTGCTCTTGGAAACCCCAGTTTAACTGTTGTTAATTGTACAAGTTTGATTCATAAAAATGTAACTTTGAATTGCCTTAGTTTATTTTTTTTATTATATTTTTAAGTTTTATTAGTTTTTTTTTCACATTTTATGTTTTATATAACATTTAAGTTTAATTTTTTTAAATGTACTTCTAAAGTTGACAGTGAGAGTTTTGAAGTGTCAGTGACTTCCAGAAGCATATTTAATCTTCATTTTCATGTAGGTATGTTGAACTGCTGAAGGAAGTGAAACCCAAACTGCAGTGGGACGAAAATACTGGAGAACATTTCTTCAATTATAAAAGGTTAAACACACAGACCATCTTACACAAATTTTGTAACGGTGTGAACAAAATTAGCTTGCATTAAAAAGCTTAGATATTTTAATATTTTTTCTTGTGTTTCAGAAGTAATGGAGTGAGGCATGTTGTTTACTACCCCACTTTAAAGGTAACTTTCTGATGGTCAATATAAAATATTAAAGGGGCTTGTGGGTATTATCCAGTTATGGGACTTGCTCTTTCTCCTCTAGTTTCTCCAGCTTCGTATCGCCTTGGCAGCTGAACTGGGAACAGGAATTTCCATGTGGGAATTGGGACAAGGACTGGAATATTTCTACGATCTTTTGTGACCCGTTTGACTGTGACCTGACCTCCGTCTGTCTGATTTGCTTCCAAATAATAAAGTGCAATTTAATAAAGCACTTCAGATATTTATGACAATACTGTTGTTGAGCATGCCAATAAAATTATTTTTAATTACGTCTGTTATCGTGTGCATTCTTGCCACTAAATCAGCATTTTAATGTAATTGATTTTATTCAGGAATACAATTTAAGGTACAGATTTGTTTTTTCATACTGTATTATGTTCATAATACTGCACATTACAGATTTAATTTCTTTTACGTTGCAAAGCATAACCTTGTTAAAGCAGCACAGAATTTTTTTTGGACATAAGATAATGAAGCAAAACAGATCAGTTCCTCTTATCATGATCTACATATTCACAGGATATATAAAAAACAAAAAAACACAGGATTTCCTGTTGCCCCGTCTTACAATTTACAGGAATGTTCAAAAGTTAGGCTTCACAACAACATCTGTAACTCTTAATAACCAAAGAAAATCATAATCATGTTTGCGCTAACAAATGGAAGGCTGATGCATTTAAAAGCTGAAACGTGGTGCTTTTTAGTCATTTTAGTGGATTTTATGTTCTAGGTGAAATTCTGGCGTTGTCAACTTTTAAAAGTGTAGTTTAAAAATAAAGCCTTTTATTACAGTGCATAGCTTTGAAATGCATTTACAGTTTTTTTTTATTATTATTATAAGGCATGTGCTCCTTTCTAAGCATTCAAATTTAAATATTTTAAAGGCAAAAAAAAAAATAATTCACTTAAATGGAATTTTAAGTGATAAACTAAACTGGAGTGCAAAACATTTGGAGTGACATCTTGGCATGATTTTCATATTTGTGAATGTGCTTTCAACAGCCATTTCTAAAACACTTCTGGTTCACGTTTCGTGGCGTGGTCCCTTGTTCGTTCCCTTCTGAACAGGTTAAGTGTTTATCTGCTGTTGCACAGCAGAATCAGGTTATTGACAGCCGCTGTTGTGGACTGAACGTTTTGGCCCGTTACAAGATGGCGGTCCAGGACCACGTGAACGGCGTCCTCGATGCTCGCTGTGAGGAATTAATTTTATTTTGTTAAAAACTATGCTTCACATTAACACAATTAGCATGTGACAAAAGTGATGACGGTCACCCAAAAATACACGGATGTGTTACTTTTGATATTTAAAAAATCCCAGCTTTCAAATTCCGCCAATTTTATTACGAACTCAAAACAAATAAATACCGTTTGGCGCTTTTTAAAGTGGCGTCACGTGAGAGATGACCGTTGCCGCCTCAGAAAACGCAAGAGAACCGATCATCTCTTCTGCTTTACAAGTTTATAGCACGAAGTACACATAAATGAACAACAGAAGGTATGTTGAAAGATTAAGTTCAACTTACTGAATGTGTCATATATCATGTAATCCTCAGTCAGTATTTCAATCGAGGAAGGATCGATAAAATATCTTGTAAACAATGTCAGTACTATAACCTTACCTCAGAAAATCCATTCGATGTCAACAGCTCGATAGTTAGCTAGACAAATTAAGCTCTAGAGAGGAACATTTTGCTACATATAAGCACTATATTAAATATTCATTATATTTTTAACTTTTTCCTAAATATTTAATGTATGTTTGAATAAATCCGACATGTTTTATTTTTATATTTTTTAGAAACTAAAGAATTAGAGTAGATGTATAATACATAATTAAAAAGGTATAAGTTATTAAATTGCCTTATGTGCAGTTTGAATGTTTGTACACAAATCACTTGTTAATTTTAACCTTTAATATTACAGTAACTTAATGAGTTATAGTAACTGACAGCTCAGGTTAAAAAAAAAAGTACACTTCCATAATGTACTTAAAGTGCCCTATTTTCGCACACTAACTTTTAACATACTATCTCTGTATTTAAAAAATGTGTTTAGTTACAACTTGTAGTACACTTGAGTGTACTAGTGTATGAAAGATGGGTTCAAGTGTACTACAAGTGGTAACTAAATACATTTTTAAATACAGAGAGAGAATGTTAAAAGTGCATTTTAGTTTATATTCATGGTGCCCCAAAATAGCACAGTTGAGTACACTTAGTTGATCTCAAGTTTATCTTAAAGGGGTCATATGATGCGATTTCATTTTTTCCTTTCTCTTTGGAGTGTTACAAGCTCTTGGTGCATAAAGAAGATCTGTAAAGTTGCAAAGACTAAAGTCTCAAATCCAAAGAGATATTCTTTATAAAAGTTAAGAGTCAGCCACACCCCCCTAAAACGGCTCGTTCTAACACGCCCCCACATATCTACCTCACTATGTGGGAAGATTTGCATAACACCGCCCAAATGTTCACGCAAAGAAAGAAGGCATAACTTTTATTCTCACTGTAGTATTGTTGAAAGATTAAGTTCAACTTACTGAATGTGTCATATATCATGTAATCCTCAGTCAGTATTTCAATCGAGGAAGGATCGATAAAATATCTTGTAAACAATGTCAGTACTATAACCTTACCTCAGAAAATCCATTCGATGTCAACAGCTCGATAGTTAGCTAGACAAATTAAGCTCTAGAGAGGAACATTTTGCTACATATAAGCACTATATTAAATATTCATTATATTTTTAACTTTTTCCTAAATATTTAATGTATGTTTGAATAAATCCGACATGTTTTATTTTTATATTTTTTAGAAACTAAAGAATTAGAGTAGATGTATAATACATAATTAAAAAGGTATAAGTTATTAAATTGCCTTATGTGCAGTTTGAATGTTTGTACACAAATCACTTGTTAATTTTAACCTTTAATATTACAGTAACTTAATGAGTTATAGTAACTGACAGCTCAGGTTAAAAAAAAAAGTACACTTCCATAATGTACTTAAAGTGCCCTATTTTCGCACACTAACTTTTAACATACTATCTCTGTATTTAAAAAATGTGTTTAGTTACAACTTGTAGTACACTTGAGTGTACTAGTGTATGAAAGATGGGTTCAAGTGTACTACAAGTGGTAACTAAATACATTTTTAAATACAGAGAGAGAATGTTAAAAGTGCATTTTAGTTTATATTCATGGTGCCCCAAAATAGCACAGTTGAGTACACTTAGTTGATCTCAAGTTTATCTTAAAGGGGTCATATGATGCGATTTCATTTTTTCCTTTCTCTTTGGAGTGTTACAAGCTCTTGGTGCATAAAGAAGATCTGTAAAGTTGCAAAGACTAAAGTCTCAAATCCAAAGAGATATTCTTTATAAAAGTTAAGAGTCAGCCACACCCCCCTAAAACGGCTCGTTCGAACACGCCCCCACATATCTACCACACTATGTCACTCTTGAGGTATTCGGCCAATCACAACGCATTGGATATCTGGCCAATCAGAGCACACCTCGCTTTTCAGACCGATTAGTTTTGTAAAAATCGACGCGTTTCAGAAGGCGGGGCATAGAGGAGAAACAATAATGTACAGTATGTGGAAAATAATGTGTTTTTTTTACTTTAAACCGCATAAACACATTTCATTACACCAAATACACAAAATAATGTTCTTTTTAGCAGCATCATATGACCCCTTTAAGAAGTACTAAGGAATAATTTTTAGTATATTAAGTACAAAGCTAGTGCGCAGTATGGAACTGTACTTTTTTTAACCTGGGAGGGTTCCCTGAATCCTTTACCGCATTAATTGCGGTATATTCTTCCCTTGGGAAAAACTGACATGTACTGTATCTGATATATATCTAAAATAATAAATATCAAATCGAAATTCACTTAAATCGCAAGCTTGTGAATCGAATTAAATTGTGAGAGATGTCAATACCCAGCCCTAATTACAACCAAAATGTGAGCAGTTCCTCAAACAAAGCTGTCAGAAGACTTCAAATATAGCAATATAGTGGATGACTTTTATGGTGAAAGCAAGTCAAACAAGTTGGGAATGACTTTAATAAACCTCACCTGTATAAGATCCACCATTGTCTTTGATGAAATCCTCCACAATCAGCGGCAGGTTGGCAAATTCAGGAGAACGTACCAGCTCAAACACAGAGGGCTGTCAAAAACATCACATTACAGTAGCTTTTCCATCATAAATCCATGGTTTGTTGATTCATATTACATTATCACTCACCCCAGTCATGCTGTAGCCACTAAATATCCATTTCTGTTCCTCTGTAGCGCAGCAGAGAGCAGCTACACCCTGTCCCACAGCACACACGGGCTCTACAATCACACAGACATGAATCACACAAGCCTATCTCAGTTTATAGAGACAGAGCGACACGCGTCATAATCTGAAAACCACGCCCACTGGGGGGGAAAACAATCCAACCCTCTCCATTGACTTTGTATTGCGCAAAGCTGCCTCCTTGTTATTTCTGACTTATAACAAAAAACAGAACCATGTCTAAAAGTTGCTATGTGACAAGGTGTACAGCAAACAAGCTAAAAAACCCAGAACTACGGTTTTATAAGCTGTCGACCCAAAAAAAACGAGCGTTTAAAGGGTTAGTTCACCCAAAAATTAAAAATCTGTTATTAATTACTCACCCTCATGTCGTTCCAAACCCGTAAGACCTTCGTTCATCTTCTGAACACAAATTAAGATATTTTTGATGAAATCTGACCCTCCCATAGACTGCAATGCAACTGAAATGTTCCCAGGTCCAGAAACATAGTAAGAACATCAGTAAAATTGTCCATGTGACATCAGTGGTTCAAGCGTAGTTTTACAAAGCTACAAGAACACTTTTTGTGTGCAATGAAAACAATAATAAAATTTTTTTTTCAACAATTCTTCTCCCAGAGTTACCGTCTTCCACCATTTTGGAGAGTACCCCAGAACGTAATCAGCGTTGTTTACGTTCAGTAGAAATTTTTGGGTGAACTAACCCTTTAAGGACACAAAAGTAGAGTGAAACGTGTCATATTAATCTGAGAACTGCTCCCACTGGAGGGAAACGTAATCGGCGACAGTAAACCTTAATTATTTTTAATCATGTCAAAGAATTATTTCACCACCCTATGTGAACCTGAGAGGAGGAGATATATTGAGTCAGTGCCCCTTTTTCTTACCTTCCTTTTGTTTGAGAAATGATCCAACCGAATGGTTCCTGTCGCCGATTACGTTTCCCTCCAGTGGGCGTAGTTCTCAGAGTAATGAGACACATTGTGCTCTACTTTTGTGTCCTTAAAAGGGTCATATGATGCTGCTAAAAAGAACATTATTTTGTGTATTTGGTGTAATGAAATGCGTTTATGCGGTTTAAGGTTAAAAAAACACATTATTTTCCACATACTGTACATTACTGTTTCTTCTCTATGCCCCGCCTTTCTGAAATGCGTCGATTTTTACAAAGCTCATCGATCTGAAAAAGCGAGGTGTGCTCTGACTGGCCAGCTATCCAGTGCGTTGTGATTGGCCAAATACCTCAAGCGTGAGACGGAAATGTTACGCCCCTCACCATATTGTGATGCTTGTAACACTCCAAAGAGAAAGGAAAAATTTAAATCGCATCATATGACCCCTTTAAACGCTCGTTTTTTGGGTTGACAGCTTATAAAAACACAGTTCTGGGTTTTTTAGCTTGTCTGCTGTACACCTTGTCACACAGCAGCTTTTAGGCATGGTTCTGTTTTTTGTTATAAGTCAGAAACAACAAGAAGGCAGCTTCCCACAATACAAAGTCAATGGAGAGGGTTGGATTGTTTCCCCACCGGTGGGCGTGGCCTAAATGCGCTCTTTCTCTATGGTTAAACCCTGAGCTGTCTGAGAAGCAGAGACCCTCACTTTGATGAGAAATGAAGTGGGACAGGATTCGTGCGAGGGATCCGCTGTGGGCGAGATCGTTCAGGGCTCCCGGACAGTCGGGAATCAGCAGCGCCTGATAGCGGGCACCTGAAACATCACACATATCCTGATGTAAGAAATGCACTTATGCTCTCAGACTCAAGAAAGCAGAGAGATGTCAGACCATCGATAGACTCCAGCTTGGCCGGGTTGGCGTAGGGTTTGACGCTGAACTCTTGCACCCAGCGGGCTGTGCTCTCATCCACACCGGCAAAGTCGATGGGCTTCCCCTGTGAGACAGAAAAAAAAAGACAGATTTGACGCATCCAGCACATTGTGTGTCCTATGTGGATGAATAAACACTGATTTGTAGATGTTGCAGCGTGTGTTTCCTCACGCCAGGTGTCGCTGTCTGCAGGTTGAACACTGAACTGCACAAATTAAAACACTGATGGAACGATCGCGCTGAAACTCCTGCAGGAAAACAGAACAGTTTAATGCGTTACATTCACAATAAACAGAAAACACTAACAAAAGAGTATCATTGTTCAAAGTTTAATTTAAAAATAGATCAAAGTGCAACGTTATTACCATCTGATCATCCATTTGGATCCTGGAACTTTTTTATACTTTTTTTTTGTAAAATCTTCATTTAGTTCGATTTTTGGTGAATTATATTAAATAAAAAAATAAGAAATATTAACAAACAGGTAGGGTCAGTTTGAGTCAAAAACATCATCATAATTATTCATTACACTAATAATATATGGAACCTACGACAATTTAGAAACAATTCACTGATAATAAAATTAATTCACCCCCTCAATTCACTGATAATAAAATTGGGACTTTAATTATATTTTGACCACCCACTCAAATAGAAACTGTCCCCGGTTTCCATTTCAGAAATCCATTACCTTCCTGTAAATATTCATGTTCATTTGACGCGATGCTCTGAGTCTTACCTGCAGATGCAGCACTGGCCACAATCAGACATGTAGGTTTAGATGTCATTATAGATGCTTTAGATCACCAAATTGACTGGTTTTCGATGTTTATAGAGACTGAGCATTAACAAACGATAATGGCAATACTAACATCAACAATAACCTACTAATACACGTACTGAAATGTAATAAATTAATTGAATTTACGATAAAACACAGAACTGAAATCATTTGATCAGCTGCTTGTTTTCATGGTCCGTCGGTTATAAAGTTCCGGGTAAAACAGTCGCTGTTTAAGTAGTTCCTATATGCATATGTGCACGTGATATGCACATTTTATATCATAATTATTTTACTAACGACCTTTTTTACAGGAAATCTACAGACACAGCGAATAATTTAAATGTTACTTCCACCTGATGAAAATAGATTAATGTTAATGTTTTATTATTAGAACAAATGTTACACCCAAAGCATGTAAAAATTAATGTCTGTCATTTTAAGATTAAACCAATAAAAAAGATTACAGCCCATTTTAATGCTGAAAGGGTGCTAATAATTATCTAATGTTTAATAATAAATGGCAGACAAATTCTGTATGTATTTGAAGGCATTTGTGGGAGTAAAACTGACAGAAATAAAATGAAACAATTCGACTGATTTATTTGTATTGAAAAA